TCCCACTCTCACCAAGAAGACAACTTTCCGAGCTTCGCTTCAGCCCCACAACAATTTTCCTCCTTTCAGAGTTTCACCAACCCCAAAACCACTCCGTGTGAGAGCAAGAATCAAAACTCTGTTCGTTCCGTTTCAGAAAAAGAGTGGTTTCCAAATCTGCCATAGCTTGAAGAAAGAGAGCGAATTTGGTGGGAATGATGGAAGAGACTGGACAACCTCCTTTTTGCTCTTTCTCCTCTGGACAGCACTCATCTACTATGTCTTCTTTCTCACCCCAAACCAGACCCCTGTATGTTCTTTCTGTCTTTCCAATTTGAAATGTGCTAATCATCATATAAAATTCGATTTCCATAGGGATGGAAAACGATTGGATATTCGAATGTGTATTACTTGTGATTTGTTTATATCAGTTCATTTGAGAATAAAAAATAATTATAGAGGAAATATAATCTCCACCATAACAACAAAACCTTCTAATGTTATTTGTGAATCAAAGTTATAGTTATTATCCACAAGAGGGTTTTTAATAGAATCTTTGCAAAAATAAGGCTCATTGGGCTGAGATTGAACAATGTTAGAGTCCCTCATGGACTAAAATGGGAAATCAATATACCTTGTAAGATCTTTGAGGATTCAATATACTCTTTGGTCCTCTTATAAGAGCACAAAAGTAGTCTATGGCGAACCCAGAGTCATTTTAAGGAAGATAGATAGTTGCACCTCCTCATTTTTGTGAAATTACAATTACTGTATTAAACTTTTATTCTTTTACAGCCTTAAATTTGTGTATTGACCCTGCAGTTCAGTGAGAGACTCATATATTGATTCAAGAGTCTCGGATTCATCACAGAAAGTAGCCTTTGCAATGCTTCTATTTTTCCTTTCCTTTTGTCTTAACTGTGAGATTTTTCTTTCATTCAGTCAAGGGATTCATATTTCCTGAAAAAGCTCCTGAATCTGAAAGGGGATGATGGTTTCAGAATGAATGAAGTGTTAGTATCATTGTGGTATATAATGGGCTTGTGGCCATTGTTATATAGCATGCTCTTGCTTCCTACAGGAAGAAGGTACTTCCCTTTGCTACGTATATTTGTCCAACATATATAATATGTTTCTTTTATCAGATTTCAAGCCACTCATAAACCTCTACCTTTTAGTTGAGATGTGTTATGAAAATTTATAGTTCTAGGAGTTGATCATGATGTTGTACTAATTATGTGATTAATATCAGTAAGCACCACGTTGTACCAAATCATTCATGTATCGTACTATTCGGTGTCATTTGACTCAGAACACGAATTTTAAATACAATAATTTTATGTTTTCTTATGTATATGTCCTATTTGACAATAACTGAAGCTGATTTCATATCTTCCATCTGTTGTTCTACAGCTCAAAAAACAGTATTCCTGTATGGCCCTTCCTCATACTTTCATGTTTTGGAGGTGCATATGCACTTCTTCCTTATTTTGTACTTTGGAAACCGCCAGCACCTCCTGTTGAAGAAATTCAGCTTAAAACGTGGCCCTTGAATTTTCTGGAATCAAAAGTAACTGCATTGGTAATGCTCGTCTCAACCTCATCTTGCAATGTTGTTCAAGTGAAATTATAGTATTCCGAACAATGATTCCATAGTTAGGTGACTTTGCATGATCATAAGAAAAAACACCCCATTTGCAATCTCATGTTTATCTTTGGCGAAACACTTAAAATGCAGTGTACATTTGAGTTATAAAATGATTAAAAAATGCCATTGCAGAGGTTGCCTCAGTGTTTTATATAAAAACATCATAGTTGTATGTCATTAACAAACACAGCCTGCTGCGTACATTGGTGCAGTGAAAGAAAAATATTTGGAAGGTTTTCATATTCAACTGCTTTTGGTCTTATTTTTGTTTGGAATCAATCTATTTTTAACTTTTTGGATTCCTCTTCCCATTCTTTTCATTCTTAAACTTACGGGACCAATAATAGCAGCATATGATCATGATGAAACTTAACAACCATGATGGTTTGGAATTGTTTTCAATAGGCTCTCTATTAATCCTCATTGAGAAACTTTCTTCCTAGACATGCTTGTCAGCATGCCCCTATTATGAAAGATCCATGGGAATAGCCCTATGGACAAATGTATATTATAATCTCAGCAGTCTCTTTTTAATTTATTTTATTGAAGGATGTAACTTATGGTACTTGCACATCAGATATCACTTGTTGCAGGGGTAGCCATCATAATTTATGCTGGTTTAGCTGGACAAGATGTGTGGAAAGAATTTTACCAGTACTTCAGGGAAAGCAAATTTGTAAGTTCATACTCAGCATTTCAACAAGTTGGCATGACTATTCATTGTGTTTATTATATAAGCATTAGCAGTGTCATAGACTTTTTCAATCTTGTTATCGTGATCTTTGCTAAATGAAATGCTAATCTAAATTCAACAATTGCTGGTCTACTAGGCCAAGTTCATGACAACATTAGAATGCAGTTCTTAGACTTCATGTTCATGATTTACACTGTCCATTTTCCATTAAAATGGAAATGTTAGGTGCTAAGGTTGACTTTTCATATTGCAGATTCATATTACCTCCATTGATTTTATTGTACTTTCCACATTTGCACCATTCTGGGTTTACAACGACATGACAGCACGAAAATGGTAAATTACTTGCCATATAAGTTCTTAGTTCAATTTTTACATTCAGTTCCTTGGCCTAGTTATATACTTCCTCCGTTCCATGATAACTGCGGTTTTAGTCATGTCAAAAAAAAATTCAAATTGATTGATGCTCTCACATTCCAATGAAGTATTAATTCTTTCTCTTCCTAGTTAATCCTCAAATTAATTACTCTTTTTTTTTTCTCATTCAGAGCAATTTATTTATTGAAAAAGTGAGACTATTTTAGTAAAGTTATTTCAAAAAGTGGTACATCTGTGTGAGAAGTGTCAACCTAGTTGGGATTAGAGTCGACACAATGATGTTTTGATTACCAATTTTGATTAAAAATAACCTGTGCGCGAAAACCTTAAACTGCAGTTATTGTGGAACGGAGTGAATAAAAGAGAATGTAGCACATATTTTAACGCTAATCCAATTTGCAGGTTTGACAAAGGTTCTTGGCTTCTTCCCATATCATTGATACCATTTTTAGGGCCTGGTTTATACCTTCTCCTGCGGCCATCATTATCAGAAGAGGCCATTTCGCAAACTCCTGTTGAACCAGAGTGAAATTACACGTGATGACTGCCAATAATACAAGTGCTCACGTTCTATGCAACAAAAATATATTTGGTTTCAAGTTTGGTTCAAGAAGATAATTTCTTTCTACGCAGTCCACAACAAACTGACATTACCTACATTTTTATTATTAGATGGGATCCAATTTCAAAGAAAGAGCATTACTATTTCTGTGACTTCAAAGTGATTATTTCAACACTTTTTTTCTATCTTTTTTATTTTATTTCATTCCTAGTGTCTACAAATGATTGTTGCTAATTGTGGTGTCAATGATGGACTCCTAAGCACAATTTCATTCTTCCAAGTGGAATCTTCTGCAGACTTTCCAGCCAACTGTATTAACAAATCCAACTTGGATTACAACATATTATTAGTATTCCATATCCCAGATCTTACGTGGCTTATCACCAATCAATTGATATCGAGACTACTCATCAACTGTGAACATAATATAGTGAAAAGAAGGGGCAAATTCCAAGTCACTGAATCCCTCTCACAAGGAAAAAAAAAACAAAATTATAGTGTTGCTCTTTCTTTGAAAAATAATTCTACTGAAAAAGTTATCCTTTCTCAATCCTATTTTGAATTTTTTTTTTCCCTACTCAACAGCATTTATAATAATATAGTTTTCTGTCAATGGACAGTTTATAATATCCACAACATAAAACAATCATAAACAAATAAGGCATGCTGTCAGAAAAGTATTAATAGAGAATAACAAAAAAAAAATTATTTTTAATATATTTTTATATTTCAAAATTAACAATAAAGTATGCTTAATAATATTGACTATTTCACTAAAAGAGCATCATAGAAATTTATTGATTATTGATAAAAAGCTCTTTACTTTTTGTGTTATATAAGGACACTTGTTAAAAAAAATAAAACCTATTGACGTGGTATAAATTTTCGATTTAGGTATTTTACATGTATTTTTTTAGCTAGTTACATAAAATACGTTTTAGTGCATTAAAAAGTCGTTTGACTAGCAAAATAATATTTAATAAAATATATTACTATTTTAATTTATAATTTATTTTATTCCATTTATATTTATTTGTTTATATTATTATCTCTTATATTTTCTATATTTAATATACTTTTATTTATTAATATCTATTTTCAATTTTAATGAGACAAAAACATCTCTTCACCAATTTCTCAATTTCTATGTGAGATACCACATTATTTCTTTTTAATTATTGTTTAATATAATACTATAATTTTATTTAAAAATATAAACTTTTTTAGATTATCTTTTGTATAATTGTATATTATTAACTAGCTTATCAAACATATCTACTAAACACTTTTAAACTAATGAACTAGTTTATATACTTAAAACTTATAAATTAAAAATTTATTGATAAATATTTAATTTATCAGTCGTTAACTTCTATTTTTTTTTTTTGTCAACAAAACTGTCATGTTCACTCCTTCGTACATCATTTACATTGACGGACACAATTTGAGCCTATCAAATTTAAAATACAATAAGACAATTTTGCATTTAATTGTGTTAATCTATAGGCTATACGCATCCAGCTAATATAAGATTAATTTTGTGTTTATTGAAGATTGAATATTAGAATTTACCTTATGAAGGTTTGACATCTTACAACATGTAAAGCATAACATGAAATTGATAGCATAAGATAGAGAAAGTAGAAATTAAAACTACAGAAAAGGCACATAAAAAATAACCATATTAAACTAAAAGTGTACTAATTCATCATCCAACCATTTGTAAGGTTTCTCTTGTTCTTATTAGACCAGTCTCACGTTGAAACATGTTTCAACAAGTCTTGTAAGCATTTGAGGTTTTCCAAGGAAGAATATATTACAACCCAATATTATTCCAAAGATCATCCCACATGCATATCCCACTATAACGGATTTCCACCCAAATCCGGATTCTTCTTTGTCAAGTGTTGAATATGATGACTTTTCTTTATCCTCTTTGCAGGATTTTGACAAAGGGATTCCACACAACATTAGATTTCCAACATAGGAATAGTTTTCAAATGTGTTAAATTGTCCACCTTTAGGTATCATTCCTTCAAACTGGTTTTGTGAAAGGTTCAATACCGCCAGAAAATTCAAATTTGTCAAAGCCATAGGAATCTCACCCTTCAACTGGTTCCATGAGAGGTCCAACCAATTCAAATTGCTTAAATTACCCAGTGATAGTGGAATGGTACCAGTGATTCTATTGTGTGAAAGGTTAAGCCCTTTCAGAGAATGCAACTCTCCAATGACTGTCGGAATTTCTCCTTCAAACATATTATTTGATAAATCAATGGTTGTGAAAACAGTCAGTATCCTCGTGAGTTCTATGTACACCCCTTTCATCACAATCACTATCGAATCATTATATACACTATTATCACCCAAATATTCCAAACCAGTTTGATTGTCATTAGTATTCATCATTCCTTGAAAGTTGTGGATGTATGACACTGGCAAGGGTCCGGTAAAATAGTTATTAGAGATGTCAAAAATCCTCAACCTAGGAAATGGAAGTTTGGTGCCGAAAGAAGTGATGACACCATGAAATTTATTTGACCGTAAACTGAGTACCTGTAAATTTGGCAAAGTTTCTAACCAACCGGGGAACATATCCTTTATGTTATTGTTTCCAAGGTCCAAAACTTCAAGTTTTGTACAATAAGCCAAAGACTGTGGTAACAATCCCTTCAACTGATTTCCATTCAACTTTAGAGTATTAAAGGCATTTCCTTTAGAAAAGTTATTAGGTATGCTTCCATAAAGGTTGTTCTCTTGCAAATCCAATGCCCAAAGATAAGGAAATGTTCCCAAGCATTGTGGAATAAGTCCTGTTAAGTTGTTGGAAGCCAATTTAAGAATAGAAAGGGTGCTAGCTTTGCACAATGCTGAAGAAATGTCCCCACTCAGTTGATTATTTGAGACTGAAAAGAATTCAATGCCATTAGGTGGAATCGGAAGATCTCCTCGCAACTTGTTGAAACTCAGATCAATGTAACTAATGTTCTTCCAGGAGCGCAAGAGGTTCTCATGAAACCATTTGGGAATGCTTCCACGAATTCTGTTATGAGAAAGATCTAAAACTTCCAGGTTTGGTGCTATGAATTTTGGGAAAGTACTTACTTTACTTGAAGATAAATGTAAGTACTGAAGGTTGGGTAAGATACAATCAAAATTATTTTCAAATTTTAGTGAGAGCAAACTATTATGAGAAAGATCCAAAAAACTTAGAGTTTTAAGCTTTGAAAATTGGTGAAAGTCCACGGTACCACTCAAACCTGTTGATTGCAAATCCAAAGAAGTAAGATTTTGGAGTTGAAATATTGAATTTGGAAAATTACCTAGCAGTTTGTTATCAGAGAGAGACAAATATCGTAAAGAAGTAGCTGAGAATTCACCAATTGATCCTGTGAACTGGTTGTCTCTAAGATCCAAGAACGATAAGGAAGGCAAAGAGTAACACCAGCAAGGAATTAGTCCAGTTAACATGTTACCAGACAAGGATAAGATCGATAATATAGAAAGTTTGGTGATTTGGGTTGGAATGGGGCCAACTAATTTATTATATGATAAATCTAAGAAAGAAAGTTGAGTAAGATTAAACAATGATGGTGGAATAAATCCATCAAAATTGCAATTCGAAAGTTCTAGTGTGTGAAGAAACTTAAAGTGGGCTATGGAATCTGGAATGTACCCTGAGAAAGCAGTTCCAGAGAGAGACAAGATTCTTAATGGAGTAGTCCAGTTGGACTTCGGAAATTCACCTATGAGGTTTTCATTCTCTGAGAGATCTATTTCTTGGAGATTAGGTAATTGGAGGATATTGGTGGGTAATTTACCTTGGATTTGGGTGTTCCAGAGAACGAGAGAAACCAAAGAAGACGAAAGATTGGTCAACAATGACAAAGAGGTCTCTCCGACAGAAGACACGTTCACTTCTTCTAAATAAATCTCTCTTAAATTAGTTGCGTTGTGAATGAGTCTGTTCCATGTGTAATCATCAATTCTAATGGTAGGAAATGTGTCGATGCTACTGATACGAAGATGTTCTAATTTTGACAAGTGAGAGATTGTGGAGGGAACATCACCGCTAATCCCAACACATGATATATTTAGATGCGTGAGGTCGATAAGGTCACCAATTGCAGAGTGTATTGGAGATCCAAAGAAATCATTAGAAAATAGATTGAGTTGTTGAAGGTGTCTTAGCCTGAAAATAGAACTATTGGAACCCAGTAACTCACCTCTAAGAAGACTGCATGAAAGGTCGAGGCCAATCACGTGACCTGATCTCGAGTCGCACGTGACTCCATCCCACCCGCAACAATCTGTCACCTTGTTCCAAGATTTCGTCTTTGAAAAATATGAGGAACAACGATCATTCACAGGAAGAAAAGGTGGAGAGTTAAGAGCAACTACTGAGTTTTTGAATTGTAACAAGGCAAATTTGTCATGAGGATTGCACATCAAACAATTGTAAGAAGGAAAATAAATAAAGAAACATTGGAAGACAATAAAGTGTGACACTGAAACCCAACCCATCATTAATCTCTCATACGGAAGAAATATGGATTTTGGATGCAACCCATCCAGAGAGTTTAATCTATATATAAGAAGCTGCCCTATTTTAAATTTACAAAAAAAAAATTAATAATACTTAATTTAATTTGTATTATACGTAAACCAAAGAGAATTATGTATGGTCATCTAAAAAAACCATTTCCTTAAAAAAATTTATAATTTTGTGACAGTTTTCTTTTCTAATCAGTATATCATCATGAGCAAACTAGTTCCTCAATTTCTTTTATTTGTTTTTATTTTTTCTATTTCATATTGAAGTCTTATGTGTGAAGATGGCTACCAATTTCCAAAAAGAAATGACAAGTATTATGTTTGAAATTTCCAAGTCTTGTATCCATTTAAAGCTTTTAAGACTTTCGGATACAAAGAAATCATCAACTTTTAAGACTTACAGGTAGAAATTTCCAAAGAAAGAAAGTAGTGTGTCTCAATTTTCCAACTTCTATTTTACGTTAAAGTTTATGAATCTTCCAAAAATAAAAAATAAAATTTATCGTAACGAAAGTTTTAAAAAAAAATCATCAATGTTTACTATTCCTCCGAATAGGTATCCAAAATCATCAACTTTACAGGCACTTCAAATTAAGTCAAAGGAAAAGGTTAAACAGAGTGTTCTTAAAACAAACATACACAACTCTGATCAGAAGTCATACTGCACTCACATGGAGACAAACATCACATGCTTCAGTCATACAAACTAAAATAAAACAATTATCTCCAAAATATTATTATCTTTATCTGAGTTAAGTATATTATAATCTCAATTGTCTCCTAATTTATAGGCTAAGAAAGAAAACAAAAATGATATAAATGTTCTAAAGAAAGAGTAAAGAAAACTTAGCATGAACTCAAATTATTTAAGATTTTAAAGAGACTATGATTTTAAAAATATTAAAGGTAAAATCATTTTATTTTATTTTAAAATATTTAGAATTCAACTCAAAATACAATTATATTTTTTATCAACTTAAAATTTTCTCCTTTTAACCTTCATAAAAACATATTTATTACAATAAAGGTACTCATTTTATGTCTATTATTAATTTTATTTGTGGATATTTGTGAAGACAATTTATTTTATATATTGTCTATTATTTTGCAATTAATTTTCTTATTATAAGATTTTAGAGGTGGAAATAGAATAACAACTTCACCCACTGATTTCATATGTTATGAATTCTGAAATGTGTCATGGAGTCTCTCCATTTCTTTTAATCACTACATTTTGCACAGCCAGCAAAGCTAAGTTTACACACCAACAGTTTTACTGTAGGCGTAACACTTCATTTTTTTTTTATTTCCAACTTTATTTAGACATGAGCATCATGTATGATTAGCATATTTTATTTTATTTACTTATGCAACTAATTATGAATGTATTAATTTTAGTGCTTAACAATGGATGAACTTTTGGAAAGCAAATCACCAATTAAAACAACCATCTCAAACGTGTTCTTAACATTACGTACAATGTTTGTACATGTAAAATTACGGAATTAAAAATGCATATGAGTTGATGAATATTTGATTATTAGAAGAAACATCAACTTACTTTTATCTTTTCATGAATTAGGATCAAATAATATGAAACTTAAGCATTTTATCACAGATATAATGTATAAAGATTATATAAGTGAGATTTTACATCTGAAATACATAAAAATAAAAGGGAAACATCACAAGCAATTAGATAAAGTAAGAACTTTTAAGAGTTTGTTACTGACAACGGGTTGAATTCAAAACATTGTAGAAGTATGAAAAATTATTAAGAGTATAAAAGAAGAACATATACTCAGAACTAGAAACAAATAATAACATATATTCAAAAATTCAAAGGAAAGAAAAGAAAAGAAAAATGAAAGAGTAATAAATGGATTTCTCACTTGATCTTGTGACTAAAGATAAAACTCAACGTAAGAAAAGATTTCAAAGACTCGAGAAAAATTCTCTCAAGTCCAGTTATATTAAAAGTTATTTACAAAGAGAAGATATAATTGTTAATGATAAAAAACATCTCCTAAATGACATCTCGGTTAGTGTTTAAACTCGTCTCAATCTTATTCTTAGATTGACTATAGGTATAAATATGTGATATGTATTAAACTTTTTAAATAGAGAATGTGTATGAACATTTTTATTTTGTTAAAAATTTAATTATGAGTTTAAGTATCATGTTGAGTAAAAGTAAGAAAATCGAATATTATACAATGAAGACTTATAAATCTATTATCTTCAGGTTTTGAGCTGAAAAAGTGATGTCAATTCCTTACGTGTGGATTGAGTTCATGTTTTATTGATTTATATGGTGATTATTTCTCAAAAGATCTATAAGTATTATCTTTATTTTGAATGTGATGTTAATCTTTTATATATAAGTTGCATTCATGTTTCATTGGTAATATATCTATCTGATTCTCTAAAAAAAATCTATTATGTTTAAATAATAAATAATAATAATAATAAGATAATTATAATTATAATTATAAAATAAAATAATAAAACTAAAAATAATATAAATAATATAAATTTTTTAAATAATATTATTAATAATAGTAAAACAATAATATATATTTAATTAAATTAATTTAATAATAATAATAAATAAATTTTACAAATGAATCACTCTATAATTTCTTTAAAATTTATTATTCAATTAAATAACTTACAATTTTTTTTCACTTTCTGTTTTTTAATTAATTTAAATATTCCTATTTGTAATTTTTCTTTTACCTTTCTTTCTTTCTCTAATTCACTTCGAGATCTAAACACTTAAGGTTAGAGATAAATAATCCCACAACATACTACCCTATTAATATTACACAAATAAAAATTACTACTAATTAATATTAAGATATTATGATGGACTAAATATATATATTTTATAATAATTTGAAGACTATAAATATATTTAACTTTATTACATTTAAAACTAAAATTAAATATTAACATAGATATAAGTTATTCCTAAATTAGGTATTACGATACTTAATTTAGAAAAATCCATTACTGGGTTAGAACAAAAATAGTTTTGGGTAGGGTTTCTCCAAAACTAAGGTTGTGTTCGTTTCGAGTGATTTGGGGGAGATGATTTGAATGGATTTGAGTGGATTTGAGGGTAATTTTTTGTTGTTTTTTTGAGTGGATTTGTGGGTAGTTGAGAGTGGATTTGGAAGTAAAGTTTGTGAGAATTAGTGTAGGATTTGATTGATGTGATAGATTTTAAAAATTAATTTAATTGATATAAATTAAAGATTACCAAAATGTCCCTAGTTATAAAATGTTATTTATAAATGTTATATTTAATTGTAAAAATGTTTATAAAGAAAAAAAAATTATGAATAATTTATAAAATTAATGTTTAAAAATTAAAAAAACTAAATAATCAATTTTTTTTAATAAATTAGAAAACTAAATAATCAATTTATTAAAAATAAATTAGAAAATATAATAATCAATTTATTAAAAATAAATTAGAAAATATAATAATCAATTTATTAAAAAAA